ACTGGCAATGAATATCGGAACGCACCCAAAATCTAAGAAAACATTGCATGAAGCGAACATAGATGCATATTTGCCAGAATACAATATTTTATTATTATAAACTTCATAAAGTAGAACGAACACAGAGGAACAAATAAAAATAAAATTATCCGAAATCCCTAGGAACTAAAAAAATTTAGAAGTTAAATTAAATAAAACAAATGAAAATAAAATCCTATTCTTTCAATTAAAACATTTTATTATTTCAACGGCAACAAGCGGATTTACCACGTTTATAATAATAGTAATAATAATTATAATAATAATATCCACATTAAAAAAGAAACAAATTAAAAGGAGCAAATCTAAGAAACTGTATTGCTAGATTTAGATGCAGACAATGAATTTCATTTACCTAGATCTATTTTGAAACGCAATTAAAGTACATGTTTCTAAGATATGTATAATAAAATTTGAAAAAAAACTCCATTCCACCGTTTTTCTTTCTCAATAGGGAAAGTGTGTTGTAGCCCGAAAGCTAGATTAAGTCTTGCATTTTGGCACAATCGAGCTTTGCGGAAATGCAAAATTACTATCACATTTAAGCCTTGCATTTCAGCAATGAGCCACGGAAATGTAAGATTGCAAGTTTACAATCCATGCGCGGATAAAATCTGTTATTGAGAATGATCATTGGTCATATCGATTGTCAAAATGCGCAATAACATGACATTGCGGTTTTTTATATTTGGCTATCTAATCGCGGACAGCGGGATTTTGTACAGTGAATTTAATTAACACGTTACGCGTTACGCGATCCGGTATCAACTCGATAACAAATCGATTATTAATAATAAGTACCGCGAGTGCGAGAAATAACGAGATAACGTGTCTTTAAGTATTAATATTATCATAGCTACGAGAATCAATTATAACTAAATTACCACAGGAAATAAAATTTGTAAAAGAGGAAATAATTTTATAATAGTGTTGAAAAAAAAATACTACAAGTGACTGTCTTTCAAAAGTTCTTCGTGGTCTATTAATCTGCGCTTCTCATGAGTCTTAACCCTTTAGGCAAGTTGAATCCAGAAAATTTCCTTTGTTGGATCGAAAGATGCGAAATATTTGTGGGAAAATGGGATAAAACTTTCTGATTATGTTGTATGTTTACTAAAATCCACATTTTGCAGTCATTATATTATAAAAGGCACGATTACCAAATAATAAAAATGAGAGTAAATATTTACACAGCCAGCTCAAAATGACTCGAATAACTTTGACATTGACCATCAAAAAAGTCAAAATCATCAATCTTTTCTGTCACTTGTTGTTCATTGAACAATTATTAACAAAGCAATATATAATTTTTGGGCATAAGATTATTAAATATTACTATGTGTACTCTGCTATATGTATAATTTACATAATGCTTTTCTTTTATACTGGTAAAATGGGATAAAGTAGACATTTTACTTTAAGCCAGGTCCACTCCACACCCAGACTAGGGCTGTTCGACTTTCCACGCGAAGCAAGGTCTACCTCCTCCCTGCTCAGGGACAACTTTTCACGAGAAGTGAGGTTTATCTCATCTCTCCCCTTGCCTACACAGGACAAAATTTTAGATCTGACAGTACCAATGTTTGAGTTCAGTTCAATGAGTGATCCTATATGAAACAAACGAAAAGAAGGGGAACTCTAAACTGGGGTGTGTTCCGAATAAACATCCAAACGACAACTTTTTCTCAGAAGCATTCGGTTTTATCGGGCGATTTGTCCGCGATTTGAGATGTTGATTTAGCGTCATTCAGAATGGGTTGAGAAGAACGCCTGGATGATAACTTTTCGCCGCATTCGAGACTGAGGCGAATTTTGCCCATCATGCGCAAAAAAGTCTATCATCTATGCTACGCACTATAAGAGTTATATGATAGATTTGTCATAAGTAATTTGAAGTTATTTTATTTATTATTATAAAACACAAGAAAAAGTCAGGACAATATGTGCCACTATTTAAGAGAAAAAAAAAGTTTGAACTTTGTAAGTGATTATATACATTTTTTATTTACATTATTTTTTTCTATATAAATAATAATTAATATATTAATGTAAAAAAGGAAACGATAATACATATATGAATTTTATTAATGAGAATTACTTTAATATATTAATGTAAAAAACGAAACGATAATACATATATGAATTTTATTAATGAGAATTACTCAAACAACATAATAATTATTATTAATTTATTTTATGTTATTAATTTTAATAATTTGAACAATTAAATGAACGTCATATTACCCAAAGATATCTTTGCTCGGATGAAAAACTTTTATTCGGAACTCCTGGAGTAAGCACGAATCGGATGCATACTGACCGTAGCGCTCACGCTGGAGCTATCCCGGTTCCAACGTAGAGTGATGTGTTGTGGTTTTCATTCGTATACGAATAAAATACATGGTGCAATGCGATATGTATCGTCATCTGTGGAGCATGCATCAGTAGAGTATGTGCGCCTCATTAAATGGTTAGAAGAACTCGCGAAAAGTCGAATCCTGTCACTGCCAAGTTAGAGTCGTGGCAGCTTCACACTGGAGTCAATGCTTGTAGCAAGTTGGTATGATTTCGTCGCTGAGGAGTCAGCTGTTCCAAATTTTTTCTCATGCAGGGGCATTTGATTTTTCATGCTATTTAAGGTTCCTCCCTCACTCCTCCTTGTCTGAAAGAGTTCAGAAATTTGTATCTTATGTTCAAAAATTATGTGCTATTTATTAAAATTGTTTTGTTAATAACTTGTCAATGAACAACAAACGATAGAAAAAGTTGATGACCTTAACATCCTTCAGGATGAAGGTTAATGTCAAGATTATTTGAAAGTCATTGGTGCTGGCTATGTAAAGGTAAATATTTATATATGAGATCTAAAAATCTTATCTTAGCTGTTGTAAATTACATTATTTGTTTCTCTTATAATAATGTGACCGGAAACTATTAAAAACTAATTTGTTAAATAAATACGCATAAGATTATATAAATATTTATTTATTTACATTATTTTCTTTCTCCTAATTTACTGCATTATTAACCCTTAACACACACCTTTAGATCATACGTATTCTGCGCATTTCTTTTATTTGAAATAAGAGTACCTAGTCAAATACCGATCACTTTTCTATTTCTAAAAAAAATTTGACATCTAGAGAACAAGTTTGTGCATTGTCGACCTCAATTCGTATGTATCATTTAACTGACATAACTCCGAAGTTCATTTCTGGATTACAAATGACTCAACGTGTATATAGAGTGTACATTTTTTGTAATTAAAACATTTTTATTTTTTTTTATTTTCAACTAATTCTTGATTGCGGGAATATTTCGCGAATTATTAAAAAAAAGAATTTAACAACGTTAATCTTTAACAGATGGAACAACTTATCTTTAACCTAGAACGTTAGTCTTTAAGAACATAATGATTTTTGGCATCTTTGTATTAAATGTCAGTAATATTATATATTATGTCTGTAATGTTATAAAGAATATTTTCCTAATAAATTATAAGTTTTTTTTAAAACTATAGCAATAATAAAATGTATTGTTTAAAATATGTGTAAATGCAAAATCTTCAATTTCTAGCCAGTCATGCATATTAAAAAAACATTATTTTCGGGTTACTCAATAACATAAAATAAAATTTTTTGGACAGTCAATATTTGAACCATTTTTTTTTTATAATTTGGAATGTCAATTTAAGATATTAAATCATATTTTTCCTTTAAACTTTTTTGTTTCAGAGTTTTACATTTTTCTATGGAACAGTGTATTTTTCTTATTCTGTTAACTACATTTAGTTATAAATTATAATGCGCGCTGCGCATATAACAATTTATCTACAATTTGTTATGAATATACAATTGTACAATTACTTTCTAAAGATGTCAAAGTATACGTAAAAATTGTTTAACAATTTTTATATACTTGTAAGAGTAATGAAAATTAATCGAGAATACTAATGAACCGAACATGTATAATAAGGGTGCCCAAAACTACGGTGTGTATTAAGAGTTAACAAGTTGTAGTTTTTTTTCAAAACCTTTACTTTTTTTAATTGGAATCTTTTGCATACCATTTATCCTTAAGTTACATTGATATTGTGTTTATATTGTTATAGGTTGCTATAAAGATAATAGATAAAACTAAACTAAATGAGGAAAATTTAGCAAAAATTTTTCGTGAAGTTACATTAAATAACATTACAATCCGAAGCGCCACTACGGTCTAAGTATTAAGATGTTGAACTAATATATATATTATTCAAACGAATGAATTAACTTCAGAAATAATAATTACGTGTCGATATGGTTGTCGACATTAACGCAATTAATCTGAAATGTAATAATCCCCCAAAATTCCCCAAATTAATCTTAAAAAACTGTAATAAACTTATTGCGAAAAAATATTGCCTCGGCCGGGAGTCGAACCCGGATCTCTTGCATTCCGTGCGAGCGTCCTGAGCCTTTAGACTACTGAGATCTTAGCAATAATTTTTCGCAATAACCGATATGTATCGAGAGTAACGCATTATTTCAGCGCGCGTTTATAAACAATAAAATAGGAAACAAGACCGTTTATATTAAATAACATTATAATCCGAAGCGCCACTACGGTCTAAGTATTAAGATGTTGAACTAATATATATATTATTCGAACGAATGAATTAACTTCAGAAATAATAATTACGTGTCGATATGGTTGTCGACATTAATGCAATTAATCTGAAATGTAATAATCCCCCCAAAATTCTCCAAATTAATCTTAAAAAACTGTAATAAACTTGAAATGAGGAAACTAAATGAGGAAAATTTAGCAAAAATTTTTCGTGAAGTACATATAATGAAAAGATTACGACATCCACATATTATAAGACTGTACCAAGTAACGGAAACAGAGAAAATGATATATTTAGTGACAGAATATGCTCCTGGTGGTGAAATATTTGATCATCTTGTTCGAAATGATAGAATGGTAGAACCAGAGGCACGAAGAGTTTTCCGTCAGATTGTACTTGCCGTTCATTATCTGCATCAACAAAGAGTAGTTCATCGAGATTTTAAGGTCTATTTGTTATGTTATATTAAAATTGAATATTCTATGATTTTAATTGTTAATAAAATTTATTACAAATCATTTGCATATTGTATGAATATAATTAGTATCTCCCACTTATTTTTAGGCTGAAAATTTGTTACTTGATGCAGACAATAATATAAAAATTGCTGATTTTGGCTTTAGTAATGAATATACACCTGGTGTTCCACTTAGTACATGGTGTGGTTCACCACCATATGCTGCACCTGAAATTTTTGAAGGAAAACATTATGATGGTCCAAGAGCTGATGTCTGGGTATGTTATCATTTTCATATACATATTTTTTATTCTAAAATTGCTGTGTATAGTTATTTAAATATAATTTTATATTTTTGTTACAAATAAATCTTAATAATAATACATGCGCGCGCGCCCCACACACACACACACACACACACACACACACACACACACACACACACACACACACACACACACACACGCGCGCGCGCGCGCGCGCGCGATATAAAACATGTAGAATACTATGTCACAAAAGTTGTATAGTCTTAAAAAGAACAAATAATAATTAAATCAATAAAAAATATATATATATAAGCCAATCAGAGTTGTTGGGTGCACAGATTTCTTTTTATTCTCGTATGTTTAATAAAGTAAACAACAATAGTACAATAATAAATGTTTTGACCCTTTGTTTTTGAATCCTTATCAATATAAAATATAATAATTCCAAATTAAATATGCGTAAAATCTAACTAAAAATGTGATAATGGTCAATCTAATAGACTCTTCGGTGTGATGAAACATGACAATGCCGTTCTTTTTTATTCAATTTTCAATTTGCTATGTAATGAATAAACTTTAGAATTAGTTCTCAAGTTAACATATTTTAGCTTCAACAACAAAATTTTACAAACAGACTTTCGGACCGATAGGTTTACCATTATCATCTATTATATCAGGTATTGTTATGCAAGATTTAGAAACAAAAGCATTACAGAATCTTCCAATTTCTCTTTATGTAAGATATGTTGATGATATTGCATAAACATATGATGCGTCGCATATTGATACATTGGTGAACACGTTCAACTCATATCACCCCAGATTAAAATTTATAATCGAAATAGATGGTGTCACTTTAAATTTTGTTGATGCTTGCCTGATTAAAAAAGGAAAGCTCATTCATAATTGGTACCATAAACCTACCTTTTTAGTATAAACCTACCTCTACTTAAATTATTTTTCTAGACATCCCCTATGCCAAAAAAGTGGGGACAATCATTGGATTAAGAAGGTCTCCTACATTATAGGGTTAAAAAAGTCGATTTTTTTTTCATAAATTGATACTACAACTCTTCGAGAATATGTCCCTAAAATTTTAGAGCGAAATTCAAATCTTCGGTATAAATTCGGCGCTTGTATATACATATATATATATAATAGTATTTTTTAATGCTCATGTGAAATAAATAACATTCTTTCATTAAAAAACGCTACGAATTAATTCCAACATCTAATATAATTCTGAAGTACTCTTAAAGTCATTCAATTTTCATTCTGGAAATTTTTTTTTATCTCTTACAGTTTCGATAATATTCGCTTCGAAAGAAAAAAAAACGATTTTTTCCGAGAGGGTATTTCATTCCTAAACCTCGAGATAAGCACAAACAAAAAAATATAGGTTTAATATTTTTTCATGTTCTACAACGTATCCAAAGCTTAAAATTGGTGAGGGTCGGTTCCTTTGTTAGTAGCACCAGAGAGGCCCGAATTGCTCGTAGAACGGCTCAAATTGCTCAAAATGAATTCCATGAGGAAGCTGAAGGATTATTGTATGTCCCTGGAATAACAGATTAGCCTCCGAGCACTGTAAGTACTCAAGAATTAAATCGAAAACTTTAAACGCATTTTTCTCGAAATCTGTTTTTTACATTTTCATCAATTTTGTGTACAAGATTGAGAAAAAAGTATTTGCCTGCTCGATTTGTCTTCCTTTAAGACTCGTTTGTTAGCTAATAGTCAACCTCGATAAACCTAAAAAATTAAGTAAAAATTAATATTAATTATTTTTGTTGCATAAACAAGCGGCTGCCTAATAAAAATCGTAACTTTTTTTTTAAAGTCGCACAAATTTTAATTTATATATATATATATTTTTTAGGTTCATTTAAAATGATATTTTATAAAAATTAAAAATATTTTTCGATTTTTTGTTTCCGGCAAGAATTATAGCCGCTAGGATGTACACAAAATCGTAACATCGTGGCGAAGTGCCAAATTAAATTAATGTTTATATTTTTATTATTTATAATACTTTTTTTCACATAAAAATTTTTACGTACTCTACAATAGTTATATTAAAACGTTCAAAAAGTTTGAAATTAATAAATATTAGTCTTTTTGAAAAAAAAATTACGAAAGATCACCTTGTTTTGGTCTCCTAATGTAGGAGACTTCCTTAATAGATAAGAGTTTTTTCTTTGTCTCATCCTATTTTCCACCAAGAAAATTTTGACTTAATAATTAAAATTTTTTTAAGCAACGGATATCCATCGAAACTCCATAATTACTACAATCAAAAAAAGGTTGTTTAAAAAATTTAGACAATTGAATTATCAGGATCTACACATATCTAATGACAATAGATAATAATGAAGAGAAAGTGAATCACAGATTTTTCACAATCCCTTTTATTCCCTTTTATTCCCTTTTATTCCCTTTACTCAACTTTATCAGAAAAAAGTTAAAGAATTTTTCAAAAGACTCCGTAATATGCATGGCATATAAGGATATTAACATTGTTAAAAAGTTTATCCAAGGTCGTAAAGATGTTTATTCCAATCTATCTCGAATAGACGTTGTATATAGAATTGATTGTTGAGATTGCGAAGCATCATATGTGTCAAACAGGTAGATGTTTTAAGATATGCATAAATGAACATAGAAATCGTATAAACTAGAACACGACGCAATATTCCGTAATATTTGAACACAGAATTAGTTTTCAACATGAATTTAATTGGGAAACATTAAAATATTGGCCGAAGAAAGGATTCTAAATAAAAGACTAATTTTGGAAATGATCCATATAAAACAACAGAAACAGAGTTTAAATTTATAAAATGATATTCTATCTTTAAACCGAGGGGGGTAACCACTCTTGAATTCCGATGTACAATCTGTCAGAAGTCCGATGAAGTCCAGTGAAATCTGATGAAGTCCGATGAAGTCCGATGAATTCATGAATTCCAATGAAGTCCGATGAATTCCGGTGAAGTCCGATAAATTCTGAAGAAGTCCGATGAATTTCGATGAAATCTGAATTTCGATGAATTCCAGGTGAAGTCCGATGAAATCCAGAGAAATCCGATGAATTCATGAAATTCAATGAATTTCGGTGAAATCCGATGAATTCCAATGAAGTTCGATGAATTCCGGTGAAGTCCAATGAAGTCTTGAAGTCCGAAGCCAGGTGTACATCTATTTTTTGAGTGGTTACCCCCTCGCTTTAAACCCACTATACATATATGAATTTATTTGCGGAATTATGATGTTTTTTTCTCCTTTCCTTATTGTTATTTTTATTTCAATAATTACACAATTATATTATTTCTCATTACTCTTATTATTTTGATTCTCATTACGATTCTGATTGCCAACATCACAGGATCTTCACGTTGAGTCGCGGGAAATGCTTACATGTAAGTTAAGTAAAATTAAGAATAAATTCAGTTGATTTAAATAATACAAAAAAATTTTTTGTTTTTTCTCACAAATCACTACATAGTAAATCAAACAATTCGATGAGATTTTTCCTGTCGTATCAACGTATATGACATCGTATTAATTTATGTAAGTTTCTACACTTATTCTGTGCAATTTTAATATTCAATGTTACTTACTCGATTATTCATTATATAGCAAGTTGGAAATTGGATAAAGAAGTGCGATTAAAATTATTGTGTCTTATCACACTGAAGAGTCTATTAGATTGACTATAGTTACATTTTTAGTTAAGTTTTATGCATATTTAATTTGGAATTATTATATTTTATATTAAGAACCCAAAACAAAAGATCGAAACGTTTATTATTGTACTATTGTTACATTTATTTTATTAAATACACGAGAATAAATAGAAATCTATGCACCCGAATCACTGACGTTGGCTCTGATTGGCTTTTATATATATATATATATAATTGATAGATTCTTTCGAGTGTCTCATTTCATATATTTATAACAGTGAATTAATTTCAATTAAGCTACGATAATTGAATAACTCATTTTTATTCCGTGACGATCAAAATTATCAATTAATAAATTATATAAATAGTACTGATTGCATGTAATCAAAAGTATTATTGGGTCAAAATTACCCTTAGAAGTCATATGGAGGTCAAGTTACTTTTAGAGCACCCGTACCAACCTTCTAAAAGATATGGATGTGTTTGTACAAAAAATAGTTCAAACAATACTAGGTATTTACATAGCTATGATGCATCCATCTGCTGGTGAATTTGAATTCTACCTTTAGATTCATTTGTAGTCGTGTACATCGATTTTTAAAGATTCCTAATTATCAAGATCTTGAACAGTCGATGCCGCCTGTGTCAGCGTTACCCAAGATGTACCACGTGGAGGTCACAAGATCGGACTTACACCTCGTCGGGGTGCTTTTTTAAGGTGGTTCCCCTTGCCGTCACCTTTGTTCGTACGCATGTGTTCAGTCTAGATTTTCGAAGTGTCCTCCACGTGCATGTATGCAGGCTGTTATTCTTCGTTGAAAATCATCCGTTACTCGACGCATTTTGACAGGATCTAGAGACTGAATGGCTTCTCGAATTCTGTTCTTCATGTCTTCTGAAGTCGTAGGTCGTTCGCGGTATACGAGGTCTTTTATTCTTCCCCACAAATAAAAATCCAAAATTGTAAGATCCGGTGATCGTGGTGGCCAGTTATGTGGACCATATTTACCTATCCATTGGCCGCGAAATATGCGGTTCAGTTGTTGACGAGCAATGACAGACGTGTGGGCTGGACATCCATCCTGTTGAAACCACATATTTAGACGTAATTGAAGTGGAATATCTTCAAGTAAACGTAAGAGTTCGTTTTCGAGTAAATCGACTAAACTGAATTAAACTAAACTAAACTGAACTGAACTCAACTAAACTGAACTGAACGAAACTTACTTGTTTGTTTTGCTTTTCTCCCTTTGCTCGCTTAAGAGTTTTATAAACTGTCGGTTTTTTTTTTAGGTGCGTTTTATACCTAGGTAGGTAGGTACTTAGATACTTCAATATTTGGGGATTATTATTCATTTATAGGTAGATATGTCTTACTCAAGCGAAGAAGCTGCGTTAATGTTGTCGGTTTTGAGTAGGGCTGGAAGTTTTCGCGAAGCTGAAAGAATGTGGCGAAATGAATATCCCGATCGTACACCGCATTCGCGCAATGTTTTCAGTCGTTTGCAACGGCGGATAATTCAAAAAGGTATCGTCCAACCGGATTATAATAAAGGAATGCAAATTCATAGTCTGCTTCGTGCAGTACGGGCACCTGATATAATTGCTTCTGCTCTTGTAAATCCTACCGATTCTTTAAGAAGATGAGAAAGAGATAGTGGAATAAGTAGAAGCACTATCAGTAGAATTTTGCAAGAAAATTCATTTCATCCATATCGAATGTCACTTCACCAGGCCATGACATTGGACGATCATAGACAAAGACTGATATTCTGTAATTGGATTACTCAACAATTACCTACTTTCCATAGAAATATCTTGTTTTCTGATGAGTGCATCTTCAAAAGTGACAGCGAAGTGAACACACATAATCTCCGTTATTGGGCGCAAGAGAATCCACATTGGTATCGAGAAATCGATCATCAACGTATCTGGAAAGTCAATGTTTGGTGCGGAATTGTTGATACGCATATCGTCGGACCATTTTTCTTTGAAGAAAATCTAAATCGTTTTCTGTATGTCGATTTACTCGAAAACGAACTCTCACGTTTACTTGAAGATATTCCACTTCAACTACGTCTAAATATGTGGTTTCAACAGGATGGATGTCCAGTCCACACGTCTGTCATTGCTCGTCAACAACTGAACCGCATATTTCGCGGCCAATGGATAGGTAAATATGGTCCACATAACTGGCCATCACGATCACCGGATCTTACAATTTTGAATTTTTATTTGTGGGGAAGAATAAAAGACCTCGTATACCGCAAACGACCTACAACTTCAAAAGACATGAAGAACAGAATTCGAGAAGCCATTCAGTCTCTAGATCTTGTCGAAATTCGTCGGGTGACGGATGATTTTCAACGAAGAATAACAGCATGCATACATGCACGTGGAGGACACTTCGAAAATCTAGACTGAACACATGCGTACGAACAAAGGTGACGGCAAGGGGAACCACCGTAAAAAAGCACGCCGATGAGGTGTAAGTCCGACCTTGTGACCTCCACGTGGTACATCTTGGGTAACGCTGACACAGGCGGCATCGACTGTTCCTTGGGACGAATGGAGCCGTATATTCATGCCACCCTGTGTATATACAGGGTGGCATGAATATATGACCTCACTCGCCCCGAGCAGGTAGAATGAACTAAACTGAGTAGAAAAGCTTCTACCATTTTGCAATTTTCGCAATAGTTAACAAGATATTAATTACTAAATATTGCCAAATATTAGTCTTGAATAATTTTTTATTCAAATACTGTCAATTTTATAAAAAAGCTGCAAGAGACAAAAATCATTTATTTTCTTTTCATAAAGTTCTGAAAATTTTTTCAGAATTTTTTAATATCATATTTTCTCATGTTGATAAAAATAAGAAAATGCAGTACTAAAAAGTTGATAAAAAATTTTTAGAGTTCTATGAGAAGAAAATAAATGATTTTTCTCTTGTAGCTTTTTTATAAAGTTGATAGTATTTGAGTAAAAAATTATGTATAATGCTATGTATGTTACATTGCATATATACTATATTTGTAGTATCATTCGAACTGCGCGCCGAATTGGCTCTCCGAACTTATAAATGCTATTAAACTACTATAACAATATTACGAATTAAATTAATTAAATTAAATAATTAAATTAAATTAAGCAATTTTTAATAATTTTATGATCAATCAGAATGATTAAATTAGAATGATATTAATGTGCTGAAAAAATTTATATTATTACAATTGAAATCAATAAAACTCAATTAATCTGAATTTGATGACTCATGATATTTTACTGATTTAATTCCTGGGATCAGATCTAGTCGACCGATTACCAGTATTACAATCAGACCTGTAAGTTATCTATTGTTCGATTTGGACACGGGTCCTTTCGAACTTCGTAACAAATATTATAATAGACCACAAAAGTGATTATAAAACACTTGAATTCAACACATTTTTGAATTCTACACTCTTTAATTATCTTAAATCAATTATCTTTCAAAATTTTAACACCTTTTAAATGATTTACAAGCTTTCGTTGCTGACTAATTCTTTTGTAAGTGATAATAGAAGAAAAATATTAGGGCGGCATTCGAAATTTCGAACCGTGGTTGACCTCCCTACTACGTAAGCTGGAAAAGTTTCTGCAATCTGATACTTCCAGTGGCGCCAAATTCTGTTACTATCATATCCGTAAAATTAGACGTTTTTAACCTATAATTCAGTTGACAGTTTATACCCAAGCCAACTAGTTTTGTTTGCATAGTATTATAAAAAAAATTATTTTGTGAGAAAATGAAAATTTCGCGAAAATTTTCGGGCAATGATTTTTTACGATTACAAATCTAACTCCGAACAATGCATCGATCATCGATCATCGACTTCATTGGTTTTTGAGGATGAAGTACCATCCAATAGGACTGTTTATAATTGGTTTGCCGAATTCCAGCGTGGACATACCTTTCTTTGTAACGAATTCCGTAAAGATCGTCCATCCACGTCTGTTGTTGCCACTAATGTTGATGCTGTGCGTGAAATGATTGAGCGAGACCGGCATATGACATACCACGAGGCATTGACATGAAAGCAATACATACGACTTTGCATGATCATATGATCACTTGAGCATACGGAAACTTGGAACTTTGCAATCGTTGGATCCCACACAATTTGACACAATTTGAAGCTCAAAAACAGGCTCGTATTAAATGGGACAAAGAAATGCTCAAGAAATTCAACCGAGGTCGGTCAAATTTGGTCTACAACATCGTTACTGGGGACGAAACATGGATCTATTCGTACGAGTCCGAAAGTAAATAACCATCCACTGTTTGGGTATTTCAAAATGAATCGAAACCAACAAAAATTGTTCGTTCACGCAGTGCTGCCAAACAAATGATTGCTTGTTTCTTCAGTTATACCGGACATGTGGCAACCGTGGCTTTAGAGGATCGAAGAACTGTAAATACTGATTGATATACAACAATTTGTTTGCCAGAAGTCATAAATGAACTGCGTAGAACAAAACCGAAATCGTCGCATCATCCTTCATCATGACAACACAGCACGTCAAACCATTGATTTTTTTATTCAATAAAAATGTCGAATTGATGACTCATTATCCGTATTCTGATTTATCACCTAATGACTTCTTCTTGTTCCCAAACATTAAAAAGAAGATGCGTGGTGAGCGATTTGAGTCGCCTGAAGCAGCTGTTGAAACAT